CAATTAGATTCTATTTAAGATGCAGACAGGAATGGTGATAAGAGTTTGAACCAGACCTAAAGGTTTCACAGCCTTGGGTTTGGAAGCTTGTCCTTTAACCCCTTAGGGGATGGCGGAAAACAGGAGGTCCCTCACGCAGTGCCCTGCAGCTGACAGACAAGCCCCAGGGCGGTCACCGTCCCCTTGTCACCCAGGCCTTGCTCTCCCCAGAACCCCAGCGAGCTGTTACCTGTGAGGCCCACTGGATCTGCGTGTGCCAAGCTCCGAGCAGGGTGTCGTAGAGCCCAGCAAGCTGCTGGTCCAGGGGCAGGTCACTCTGGCACAGCTCCTGCCAGGCTGCTAAGAGCTGCGCCTGCACCGGCAGAACAAAGGGGGCATGAGGGGTGCGCCAGGGCACGCTGCCCTCCGACCAGCCCTCCTGCTAAGGCCAGCAGTGGACCGCGGCTACTCTCCTGCACGAGCTCCCCCACCGGTGGCCAGAAGCTCCAGAACAAGGCGGAAAACCCCGCTCTGACTAGCACTGGAAGCTGGAGTCTGTGGCCCTCTGTCCTCTCCCCTTGACCTTGTCCCAAAGGGGCCAATGGACATCCACTCAGCAGCTATCATCACCCCGCCGGACAGGCCTCAGAGGGGCCTGTGAATGGAGTTTCAGTGTCAGGTCCTAACACTACTGCTTTAAACACACATGACCGCTGGGCTGGAAGGAACCGGGTCAGCCCAGGAGGCCGTCAGGTCTCCAAGAACCGGACCCCGACGGCCCCAGAAAGTATGTTTAATTCTTTAGGAGAGTCAGCCACGGCACACTGCTCGCCTGCGGGGGATGTGACAAAAGTCATGATGGGAATCCCCCTTAGAACACCAAAACGTGAAAAACTGAACAACTTCTCAGTTTGTAAATGAAACCCAGTTATACAGTGTTTGTGAATATACAAGACAAATGCTGATGGTTCTTGTCCCAGCTGGCAGGTAAAGGAACCCAGAGGCTGGGCCAAGAGTACCCCCTACTGGCTAACTAAGAGAAGACGGTCAGAGCGAGGAGGCAAGCTTCACCTGTGAGAAGCTAGGGCGCTCAAGCCCAGGGTGTGAGCGGTCCAGAGTCGGAATCACTCAGCGTCTCACCTTGTGACATCTGTAGTAGTATGCAAGAAGCTGGGGCATCCGGTCAATTTCGGTAAAAACCTTCACAAACACTTTGGCTTGGTCTAGGGAGAACAACATAAAACATGTTATCTGCTGTCAGCGGGTTTCCTGCTGCAGCCAAGAGAAAGAACTTGCAGGGCAGACGTGGACACGTGTCAGCCAGTACCCAACAGTTCCCGCCTCGACAACGAAGTGACGCCCGTGCGGAGGCCGTGACTGCGGAAAGAATGCAGAGTGAAGGACAGAACACGCGTCCCTACAGACACTGCGAGCTTCCTGAAAGGACAGAACACGCGTCCCTACAGACACTGCGAGCCTTGGCTTCCTGGGCACCGTGACCACGGTGAAGAATGTCCATCAGCACAGTCACCGTGACACACCAACAGAAAAGGGAGCCGTACTGGGCGGGGAGGCCCGGACTGTGCAGCTGAAGGCGACCCTTACCCTGAGCACCACGCAAGGGCAGGTGGGAGCCTGAGTCTTGCCTCGTCCCAGCCCTGAGGTAGAATCACGAAACGTCGACACCAGAGAGGCATCTGAAATGACCATCAGGCAATCTCATTTTACAGAGACGGAGCCTGCAGCCCCAAGCGGAAGCCGCTAAAACCGCAGGCTGA